TGATGGCTCAGAGCCTGGAGCCTGTTTCCGATTCTGTGTCTCCCTCTCTCTCTGCCCCTCCCCCGTTCATGCTCTGTCTCTCTCTGTCCCAAAAATAAATAAATGTTGAAAAAAAAATAAATTAAATAAATTAAAAAAAAAAAAAAAACAAGATCCTGGACTAACTGGGATCTAAGGCTTATTATTTTTAATATTTCAGTTGAAGTGCTAAAATTTTTCATGTGTTTTATATTATCCCTATTTTATGATTGAGGGAAAAAAAAACAGAAAAATGAGTTTGGCCAGAGCTATACAACTTGTAAGTCATTGAATTGAAATTTAAACGCAGATCATGCTGCCTCCCAGGTTAATGCTCTTTCCAATATACCATTATTATTATTATACCACTTTCTAAGTAAATACTTTAAATGCCACTAGATCAAGAACTAGACCAAGGGAGTGAGGCTTCAAGCCCACCATGTTTATCTCCTAAATTCATTCCCACCCCTTTTAAACCAGAACCTTTAAAGTTTGAGACCTTTCCAATTAAGAATGACAAATTGTACATGTATGTTTATCCCTACTGCCTTGTGAAACATCACTAAAGCAAAACAGTAAGGGAATGAAAAAAAGTGTAATCCTAAATACAAAGAGAATGTAAGAAGCGCACTAGTAGACAAGAAACGGCAACAAATATTTAGAAGATAGAACACAATTACATCAATAATAACTCCCTTAATAAAAAGTAAAGAGAACTGAAACCTTCCTGCAAAGAGAATAATAGCAAGAAGCAAGCCAGTTCTTGGTGCAGAGCACCAAAGTCTCACGAATTGAAAGTGAATGAAAATGAGGCAGAAAAAAACAGAGGAATTAGTTCAATGTACACGTAAGGAGTAGTTTCATTTCTCCCACCTCTGTCAGCCTTTGCACCTACCTTGCTAGCCACGTGTCTTCTCTGCCACCTAACAGAAGACAGTAAGATAGGGAAATGGCCAGATTTTGTGGGCCTGAAGCTTAAACAATGTGGAGAAATTTAAGAGGATATAAATTACAGTACAAAATTAGACCATTAAAAAAATATTGCGAACGAGCAAAGAGATCATGACAAATTACAAAAAGGAAAAATAACATAATACTTTAATTATTAAATGTCAGATACCTCTGTATTTTTTCCTCCTTTTTTGCTTCATACTCATTGATTATCTCTACACATGACAATAATTGTACATATTTTCTATACAAAAAAAATAATCAGTCTTTCCACTGGCAGTGTTGGTTGAAATTTGTTTTTTTATTATTGATAGTGGAAATGCATAAGACATGTGACTTAACACAGATAATACCCTCTGTTGTGGTGCTGCAGATTTCTTTCCTATAAATACAGAAATGCTATTTTGTGAAATTCCTATTAAAAAAGAAAAAAGTTAATGATGCACTTATAACTGTATATGTAACATTATCAAGCATATTCCTAAAAGGAGAGCATTTCTCTTTTGATCAGACATCAATGGGAACCAGATTCTCTGCTTACAATTTTACATTTTAATGTTTGGAAGAATGCTTAAGCCTGATGTTTGGCTGTGTATATTTCAACCATTTCTCCTACCCATAAACAACGGGTGCTGGGACACATAATTTTACATTATACCTCTGCTCTTATATAGTGGGTGATAAGAATATTCCAGGACATCATTTCTAGAGCAACTTTTCTATACTGTCAAACATAAACAAAGCCAGATCCTAGTTAAGTAATATACTCTTACAGTAGGTAAGAGTCCAACATGAATTGAACTTCATTTTGTACAGAGGTAACTGAGCATTTTAAAGGAAGAATGAGAGAATAGGTAGGGATGGTGGGTGAGTAGGGGGCTCAGAAGATTCAGGAAAATGAAAACTTACAGAAGTGTGAAAGAGGGCATTGGCCCATGTGAAACCCATCTAGGTTTGCTAATTGGCACTTACCAAAGGTAGGTTCCTATCTTCCCACAGAGGCTGGGAGACAAGTCTTTATAAGCCAAAGTTGAGGCATAGTCAAGAAAGGATGTAAATAAACCTGGCTAGCGTTTCATCCAGGAGAAAATCTTTTGTCAGGATGCCTGGATGGCTCATTCGGTTAAGCGTCCGACCAGCTTAGGTCATGATCTCACAATTTGTGAGTTCGAACTCCGTGTCAGGCTCCGTGCTGACAGCTCAGAGACTGGAGTCTGCTTCGGATTCTGTGTCTCCCTCTCTCTCTGCCCCTCCCCCACTTGCGCACTCTCTCTCTCTCTCTCTCTCTCTCTCTCTCTCTCAAAAATAAACATTAAAAAAATTTTGTCAATACCCTAAAGTGACTTCAAATCACAAAACCATATCCCATTAAATGAAACTAATTATGTAACTATTCCTGATTTAGCTTATTCTTAGTTATATCTCAAAGTGCCCCTAGCCACTTTAATGTTGCCTAACACAAAATGAAGTGTAATGGAGGGAAATTGGTGTAAAGACAGAAGTCTTCACTGTTTGTGACTTAAATATATTTACTTTTGCAAATAATACAAAAAACATATCCATGTGAACATTAAATTTGGAGGGGTATTCTTTGGAGTAATAGAATCAAAGTATCTTTCTTCTTTCTTTTTTTTATGTTTGTTTATTTTTGAGAGAGATAGTGTAGGATGGGTAGGGGCAGAGACAGAGGGGGACAGAGGATCCAAAGTAGGTTCCATGCTGTCAGCAGAGAGCCTGATGCAAGCCCAATGCGGGGTTCAAATCCACAAACCCTGGGATCATGACCAAAGCCAAAGTCCAATGCTTAACCAGACTGAGCCATTCAGGCACCCCTAGAATCAAAGTATCTTGAGACTCAGAGTCAATAGCATAGCAGAGAGCAGAAGTAAGGGAATATATGTAGTTAGAACCCCCACACTCCTCCATGGTCAATGCTGGCAAAGATTAGTTTAGACAGAGAATTATTCTCTGGAGAGATGGAACATCCCCAGAGGGAGAAATACCTTATTTAGGCGTCTTCCAACAAATGACCGTGTCTCAAAGTTACCCAACAGTCAATCTACCAGTCACCAAGACCTTTTCACATATACAAAACTTCCAATTTGATTTTCAGTACTATTCTTTTTAAATATGTAGTCATAAATCACCAAATCTCTATAGAAAACCTCTAAGTAAAAGACACAAACCAGCAAACTGAATAAAAGAATATCCTAAGAAAGATAGTTATAAGAAGATATTGCAACTATGACAAATCAGTTTTTTTAAGTAACAACAAAAAGATTTACTGGAAATTAAAAATGATGTGGAAATGCAAGTGAGCTTTCTAATAAAAGAGTTAGATGATAAAGCTTAGGAAGTCTCTCAGAGAATAAAACAAAAATACAGATGGAAAGTAAGAAGAAAAGACAAAATTATTAGAAAACCAACTCAGGGTGTTCAAGATTTCTTTAATAAGAGAGAAGAAAGAACAGAAAGAAAACATCACAGACATCAAACAAGAACTTTCTCTGTAAGTGAAGGATTACAAAAGGACCATCAAATACCTAGCATAATGAAGTGACACACTTTTACATATATCATTTTTAATTTTTAGAACACCGAGAATCCTAAAAGTTTACAGAAAAGGAGAAAATCACATACAAATTATTTCAATTCAGAATCATATCAGACTTCTCAGAAGACAATGGAGCACTATTTTTCATAACTGAAGGAAAAAAATTCAACCCTAGAATGCTCTGCCTACTCCACCCAACAGTCAAGGACAGAATAAATATATTAAAAGATATATTTTTTAATAGCTTTCATAAAAGCTACTGGAAAATGAGTTCCACCAAAATGATGGAGTAAATCAAGAAAGAGTAAATAATGTCTTGCCCTTCAAATTAAAGATTAAATATAGGGGAGAGCCAAAGGGAATTAGATGATAGTAAAGAGAAATGCCAGGACAACAGCTGTTCACTAGATCTTGGAAGCCGCTCACAGCCACTAGAGCAAGAGAACAGAGGTCTTCAGGAGAGAGGTATTTTCCACCTCTACTGGCCCAAATGAAATATGAGATGTGTTTTATTATTTTGGACATAGTTCAATCTTTCTGAGAGATATGATAGTACTGCATGAGGACAAAGAAATCAGGATTTAGAGGAGTTATTTCTCTGAGTCACAAAGTTCCTCATGGAGCTTAGAATCAAACCTGGGAAACCATAACCCAGGGAACGTGCTTTATTCACAATGCATTATATTAAAATTACAATGCAAAATTAAAAAAAAAAAAAAGTTGTGTCCCAGGAGAAGATAATATTACTTTTTAAGAATAGTTGCATATTTTGAGGTACAATTACAGAGTACTTTTTGCATATTTTGGTTATGATAAAGTGCTTTGGAGGGATTTTGAGATGGAGAGGTGACATGGGTTAAGTGAATGGAGAATGGGATATCTGCCAGTACTAATAATTGGAGTGGCATTAGGGTGGATGCCAGTAAATTCTCAGGATCCTCTGTAAAATTTTTATGGTACTGGTAGGGTGTGTTGGAAGCAGATACAACTGACTTTTCCATTGCTAGTGATTTAATGACTGAATTACAACCCCTAATCTGGATCATTGACATAACTTCAAGCTCCTACTGGGCAACAAATGTGTCAGACTGATTCAAGCACCACTTATGCAAAAATCTATGGTCTGAAAAAAAAATTTTTTTGGCGATTAAATGGTATTAAATGAATCAAATTTTTTAAATGACAGAGTTTTCTCTCTTTAGCTTCAAATTTTTATCTTAAACATATTAACTGGAATTTTTCTAAAATGAATTCAGCATCTCTCTTCCTTCTTAAGTTGAGTAGAGAACCCATCTTGAACTTTGATTTTTATTCCAATTGGTATCTTTGTTCTTCTTATTGTGGAAGAAGTGTCAACTTGATCATGTTATAGGGTTTTTTTTTAAATATATTTCACTGTATTTACCATTGCTCAAATAAATAGACCCATGTCTCAAAACATGCTTAACTGTTTTTTTTAAAATATATTTTATGTTAGGAAGAGCATATGGGATGATGAAACCTCTTTGTGTAGCCATGGAAGTAACCAACTGTGAATCTGGTAAACATCACTAATAGCAGATAAAGGAATGCTTAATTGAGTAACTGGTCTTTCTGGGCCTGCTGTCCATACACCAAATCTAAATGAATTGAGAAATAAAAGATGCTTTATAACCCTTTAGAAACCTCGGACATTCTACTCATAATAACACATTTACCATATTAAATCACTCAGTTTCCTTATGTCTTAGTTTCTTCATCTTCAATAGAAATGAGAGATTACAATAACTTTCTACAAGAATCATTGTAAGAATTAAATGTTTCTCATGTAATAGATTCTCACTAAGTATTCATTTCTCTTTTACTGCTCCAAGTGTTTTCCTCCCTACAAAAGTAGGCAATTGCAAATGTACCATCCACAGAATTGACTTAAGTGCATATGTCCTAGGTGCCTGGGTGGCCCAGTTAAGCATCCAACTCTTGATTTCAGCTCAGTTCATGATCTCACAGTTGTGAGAGTGAGCCCTGCATCAGGCTCTGCACTGGGCATGGAGCCTGTTTAAGATTCATTCTCTCTCTCTCTGTCTCTCTCTCTGTCTCTCTCTCTTTCTCTTTCCTTCCCCCTTTCCCCCCACTGCTCCTCCCTCAGAGCACACATGCTTGCTCTCTCTCTCTCTCTCTCTCTCTCTCTCTCTCTCTCTCTCCCTCTAGTAAAAAAATTAATAAATAAAAAAAAAATAAAAATTTCCCAGTTTTAATTTGGGGAGGTAGAGGAAGCAGCAGAATAGATTTTTTTTTAAAAGACCTATGTTCTTCTTCCCTTATGTATAAGTTCCTTGCTTCAAAAAGAGAAATAGGGAACTTATCCCTTTGTAATTTAAAACATGAAGTATGGGGTTTTTTTTCATTGCTTACCTAAGCTCTTGGACTTTTACAAAGAAAATGAGAATATCTGCCATTTACTAATGTTGGGAATATAGAAAGGGAAAAGCTAGCCTATGCTAAACTCCTTGATCTTAGTCAACTTCTTGAATTTCTACTGCCTTTCTGTGGTCTGTCCACTTTCTCCAATTTTAGTATATGTACTGCCAAAGCGAGCACTGTCCACTTTCTCCATATGGGAACAGCTTACTCCACATCAGGAATATTGACCTCCTGAAGAACTATGGTACCATCAAAACAAACAATAACTTGGAGTGTGATAACCTTCCTATTTTTATTAACTCTGTATCAAAGATGCATGAATTTCAGATTTGAGAAAGAAAAAATCTTCTATGAAAATGTTTCCTTTTTTATCACTTTAACCAAGTGCATTTAATTTTTCTATATATGAAACTTCACTTATGCCTTTCTTCATTTAACTCAGAAAATTATTTTTAAAATTGAGAGTTGATATTTTAATAAATTTTTCCTGCTTATTTTATATCTCCTTTGATAGGTGAAAATAAAACTTTTAGTATACTTCACTAGAAGTCCTGGTGATCTGAATCTTTTGCCTATCTACTCCCTAATTGCAGCCTTCCCTTCTCCAACCTCTATTTTACTTTGAAAAATTGAGAATATTATTAGAGTGAATGAGGCAGATTCTTAAATAAGATGTGTTATATTCCATGATGTTTAAATAATGATATATTGAAATATTCCAACATATATATTGTATGTATGTATGTGTGTATATATGTAGATAATGCCAAATAAAACGCACATGAAATATATGAATATATTTACATGTATAAATGTATGTATATATACAATAATGTAAAATACTGCTGCCATTCTAGTCATATATATGCTGATTATTATCTCCATTATAGTTTCACTCACATCTTTTCTAATTGGTTATCATTTTAGCCATATTGGATATATACATTAAGGAAAGCTTGTGTTTTTTATATAAATGTAGCAATTCAAATTCTAAGTGTTTGGCTTTTTAAAAAATTTTTCTATATAGAAATTGACATTGAACGCTGTGTGCGAGAATCAATCAACCTCTTTTGTTGGACTCCTAAAAGTGCTACTTACAGACAGCATGCTCAACCTCCAAAGCCAACTTCTGATAGCAGTGGAGTCCGAAGTTCAACACCTTTTTTCTCCACTGAGTGTCCAGATCCTCCGAAAACAGATTTGGTATGTATTTGGAAATTTAATTTACAAACTCTAAAGGAAGATGGATGTTAAAAATACAGTGTAGCATAATTATTGCTCATAATAATATTATCACTTATGTCCCTTTTACATACATATTCTCTTATGTATGATTGTACTTACGCAACTTTCAAAAAACCTTTGTGTGTATTTAGTTTTATAACTAAGATTAACATATTCCTTCAGGTAGAAAGTTTCACATTTTTTCTGTATAATCACAGTGTCTCAACTTGTCATATACTAAAAGGATTACAGAAGCAAAAGGAAGAATTATAAAAATAGAGAAAGACAAAGTTCTTAATATATAAGAATAATAATATGTACTTATTAATTGCTGATTGACCAAAAAATATATACATACCATTTTGAAAAGCTATGCCAATCAGCTCTTTCAACATTATTATTCTTTCTAAATACTTGGCTTTATAAATATAGTTGACTAAGCTTTCAGCTATAATAATTCATATATTTCAAAAATTCCAATATTACAATATCTTAATTATTTCCATGAAATTAAATTTCAATGAATATGTATATAGGGTTTTTTAGATACCTTAATAAATTTAATAGGATAGGCTCTGACCTTTATAAAAGTAACATTTTAGTGATAAAACATTTTCAGTTTTCTTTCATATATGTTAAACAATAGATTTTGTCCCTAGATATTTTTAGAACTAGATATTTTTGCAAGAATTTGCGATTTTCACCTCTTTGCTCTTTCTGTGATTTTTCATGTTCCCAAAATATGAGGGAATCCATGTTTTCACATTATCCCATTGTGACATAATTGTATTTATTAAAGATACTTATAAACATGATTCTGATTGTGGTTGAATACAAAGTAGTTTAAGTAATTACAGTTTCTGCTGCCAGAAATATAGATAATAAAGAGGAAAACATTTATATGAATACATGTATGAAAAATTATGGTAAGATACTTCAAAATATCTTAAGAGATAAAACTAGAATAAGAACCTACACTAGTAATAAATATTTGCATTACAGTTTTCCAAAAGTAGACTGAGCCTCCCGAAGAGAAATAAATTCTTGAACACTGGAAGTGTTCCAGCAGATACATTTGCTTTAAGTTTATGTATTTTGAGAGAAAGAGAGAGAGAAAATGTGAGTGGGGGAAGGGCAGAGAGAGAGAGAGAGAGAGAGTCCCAAGCAGGCTTCATGCTGACAGCCAAGAGCCCCATGCAGGGCTCAAACCCACAAACCACAAGATGATGACTTGAGCTGAAAGCAAGAGTTGGATGTTTAACCAGCTGTGCCGCCCAGGCTCCCCCCAGCAGATGATGTTAGCGCCAACTAATGGATTTGGTACAAGAGCTCACTTATCACTAAGGGTGGTTCTACATGACCTGTAAGATTGCTTGAACTCTTAAATTTAGTGATTCTATATAAAAACTTGTACTTTTCTTCTTTTCAAATTATAAAACATATCCTCTTCATATAAGAAAAACATTAATTCACATCTCCATACTAGAAAGATATCCTTTGGCAGATGAGCAGTTTTTAGGTAACTATAATGGCATTTAATGAAGGGGAAGGTGAGGAAGTATAGAAATTAATAAGATAACACTGAGCTGGGAATTGTAAAAATTAAGTAAAAATAAAGGTATAAGGGAATTATAATATCTGAATACGTGGTGTCACCTTAAAAATATACCAGAATTTTTAAATGTAGACACGTCATTTACTCCTCATAGGAACCTATAACAAAGTATGATTATCCCTATTTCATAATAAGAGCATGAAACTAAACCCAGAAAGGGATTAATAGTTTATATAGCTAGTAAATACTAACACCAAAATTGAGCCCCCCGTCATGAAGACAACATAGGCTGTGTGTTTTTTTTAATTGATTGAACTATAATTTGCACACCATAAATTTCACCCTTTTTAAGTGTGAAATTCAGTGGTTTTTAGAATATTTACAAAGTTGTGCAACTGTCACCAGTGTATAATTCCAGAATAGTTTCATCACCCCCAAAATAAAACTCTATATCCATTATGAGTCACTCTCATACTGACATGTGCCATCTTGCAAGTGCAGGTAGCATACTTTATAGGGGAACAGTAAGGAGACTATGTATAAAATGTAATGAGTGAAGATGGGAGTGGAAAGTGATAAACTTAGAGACATATCAGTGGGTAAGATCTTGTACAATTCCAAAAACTGATTTTATGCCAAATGAGAGGCAAAGCTGTTCTAAGATTTTGAGCAGATTTGTGACATTATCTGACTTATGTGTGAAAGGATTATTTGGGCTACTGTGTGGAAAAGAGACAATAGAAGGACAAAGGCAAAATGGAGACCCAGGAGAAAGTATGGTGATTTGTATCCAAAGGTCTAGCGGTGGAGGGGATGAGAAGTAATCAGACATATTTTGAACACAAGTCCAAGAGATTGTGCTGATTGATTATGAGACATAGATAGAGGAATCAAGGATAAATCCAGAATTTGGGGCCTAGACTAGAAGAATAGTGTTTTGATGTTTTCATTTACTGATTAAGGAAGACTGTAGGAGAAGCAGGTTGAAAGGTAGAAATTAATTTTAATATATGGATTTAGAGATTGTTAGTTGATCATAATGAATACATTATATTGTTTTATACATAATATCTTTTATGCTATTATGTTTTGTGGTTATTACCAGTATAATAGAAAGATTATTATTTATTTTAGATTCATTGTATAGTTAGCAAACTTGTTTGATTTATGTTTTTAATAGAATTTATTTTTTAGACAGTTTTAGGTTTATAGCCAAATTGAGCAGTAAGTTCAGAGATTTCTCACGTGCTCCCTGCTCCCACACATGCATAGTCTCCCCATTATCAACATCCCCCACAGAGAGGTACATTTGTTACAACTGATAAACCTACCTTGACAATTATTATCACTCAAAGTCCATAGTTTATATTAGGGTTCATTCTTCGCCTTGTACACTCTATGGGTTTAAACAAAAGTATGATGGCGTGTATGCATCATTATGGTGTACAGAATAGTTCCACTGCCCTAAAAAATACACTGTGTTCCACCTATTCCTCCTGCCCTCTCTCTCAAACACTAGGAACACACATCTTTTTACTGTTTCCATAGTTTTTCCTTCTCCAGAATGTCATAGGGTTAGAATCATACGGTATGTAGTCTTTTCAGATTGATTTCTTTCAGTCGGTAATATGCATTTAAGTTTCCTCTGTGTCTTTTCATGTCTTGATAGCTCATTTTTTTAGTGCTGAATAATGGTTCATTTTCTGGAGTATCAGTTTTTTAACCATTCACCTCCTGAATAACATCTTAGTTCTTCTAAGTTTTAGCAAGTATACACAAAGTTTCATGAACATCCATCAGCAATTTTTGTGTGGACAAAATTTTCAACTCCTTTGAGTAAATAAATATTTTGGAATTGATTCTTTTTTTTAAATCTAATAGATTGTGGATTCTCTTGGATGCTTATGAAGCTGATGTAATCATACTTTCTAGTTACTACTTTTATTAATACATCTTTGATTTTTTTTTTGTTTTATTGCATTGAACAAGACCTATAGTATGAAGTAAGTTAGAAGTTAGAAGAGTGGGTAGATTTTTTAATACTTGAATTTAATAAAAATTCTTCTAATTTCACCATTAAGTTTGATGTTTTTGATAACTACTGTATTTGGGTGATGAATTTCCCCTCTTTTTCTATATGGAAAAGTTTCCCTTTCTTTTTCTCACAGTAGAGTAATTACCATGAATGAGTGTTGAATTTGATCAGATGTTTATTCTACTGGTGAGGATTGACTAGGATCATCTATTTTCCTCCTTTAAGGTAATAATGTATAACATTATTAAAATTTATGATAATTGCATTCCTGAGGTAGACTCTAGCAGGTCACTACAAAAAAAAGAAATACTGACTATTTTGATTTGCTAATATTGAATTTTAAGTGAGATAAATTTATAATTTTCAGTCTGTCCTTGTTAGCCTTTAATATTAAGATTATATTTCTCCCTCCTTCTTTCCACTGTCCAATCAGTTTGTATGAAAGGGATTTTATTTCTTATAGATGCAGTAAAACTTGTCTATAAAACCATCTGAGCCCGTTGTCTTTTAATTAGGGAGTATTTGATTGTTCATTCTTCTTAAGTCAATTTTTATATGAGTTTATGGGTTTCTTAAAATTGCCCATCTAAAATACCATACTTATTTTATCAGAATCCTTTTTTAAAGTATCTATTTTGTCTGATTTTTATATTTATATAATTCTTTTTTCAAAATATTTTAATTTTTTTTACATTTTATCTGAAATTTTGTCCCCTTTTTCCATCCTATTGTTTATTTGAAGCCCTCTTGGTTCAGATTTAAATGTTTAATACAATACAAAGTAGATGCAAAAAAATAATGTATGCATGCACTATAAAAACATATTCACTAAATTTAGGATAATCACAATTCAGATTTATATACTATATATCAATGTCAGAATCTAAACAGATAAAAAATGGCTTTTTTAAAAAGAATAGAATTTATTGTCAAATTGGCTTACATAGAACACCCAGTGCTCATCCCAACAGGGTCTTTTAAAATCAAAATACAAACTGCCCTCTGACTAGTAGAATGGAAACTTGAAAATAACTATAGGAAGAAAACTCTAGTTAACATTAACTTATACATGCATCTATCATATTTATTTCCTGAAGTAGACCCCTAGAAAAAGCATGAGCTTTGCTGTTAAATGGACTTGGTTTTAAATTTCACCCTGCTCCTTTGGTTTTATAATCTTTTAATTTTTATAATTGCTCTAATCTCCTATTTATAAAAGTGAGCATAATTGCAATAATTCCTACCTTGCAGAATTGTTTTAAGAATGGTATGTGCAGAGTACCTAGTTCAGTCTCTAATATATAATAAGCACTCAACACTTTAACAATTAATATTGCATGTTTTAATACTTAAGGATTAAATGTTTAAACTTTGAAAACTTACCCAAGA